AGACATTAGTGAGGTACTGCACCTTTAAGGTCAACAACTGTACATGGCATCTCATATTCATTGATGTAGGGTGGCATACAAAGTGATAAATGTTTACAAAATCTGATGAGCTGGTATCAATAAGGTTATATCTACTTTTAGTATCTTCCTTATTCTATAAAAAGGTCTAATATGCATGAGTGATTACTTGATTACAACCTAGTATAGTGTACGGAGTAACTGCTCATTCAAAGTTCGATGAAAGCCATGGTCCCTAACGACTTGAAGAATATATAAAGCGCGATGAAATCAAGAAATGTACAAATAATATTACAAAATGAGATTGAATCATTGTGATTATACAATTAGTAATCCGGCTCCGCTTTTCTCTTCTTGGATCTTCTCATTTCTCGAGACTGGAAAAAAATTGCATCGCAAATCATCTTAATAAGAATAAAACCAATCTTAACTTACTGATTCATCTTCTACGTTATCATTTTTTAGCATCGTTGGTGTTAGTGGTGCTCCAGAGGAGGTTATACTAGGAGGAGGCGGTTGCTGCGCATGTTTCAAGGCGGCAGGTGATGTTACTGACGAGTAGGAAAATAATCGATCTGCATCTTTATCTGCCTTCCGTGATGCTAACTTCTTATCCAGTTTTACTCCAGATTTTGAAGGAGGCATTGCAAGGGCGTACCGGTCCCATCCTAGATTTGCATATAATTTTAAAAGAATCAATATCCACAGAATTACGAAGCTAACGAAAATTAGTTCCAGTTCGTGGCACTGACAAAAGCCCTATTTCTAATTGATATGTGGTATTACAAGCATGTAAGGATATATTTTGAAAAATAATAGCGCAGCAATATCATAACCTCAATTCCGTTCTTTGTATTATTAGGCAAAAAGCACTGCATGAAATGTCAAGAAAGATAGCAGAAAGGGGTGATTAACTTTGATTAAAGAAGTGGCATGATTCTGATAAGAAAAATTATTCACATGTTTGCATCTAAATGGATTCCCCTATGAAAATTAAGGCTGAGAACATCTACCAAATAACTCACCTTTTATAACATTCCCATACTCTGCCGTCTCTTCAAGATAAGATCCTTCAAAATTATATATTTGGTTTTCTAGCGCCTCAAGAGTTTCCTGAAACATGCTGAGATTCGAAGAAAAGATTTTTATCTATTACGGGATTGAAAAGAAAATTTCGATAAAAAGGACAGCCTTACCGCGATTTCTGCGCGCTTCTTTATTAGTTCACTGAGTTCCCGCCTCAAATCATGTTGATCTTTAGACATCTGAGATTGAAGCTTTTTTTCCCGAACGAAAATCACTCTTTGGTGAATTCAGTAAATAAAAGAAGTATAGATAAATAGGATAACATCCACAACCCATCAAGTCTACAGAGTAAATAGATTTTTATGGAAGCAAAACGCAACAATACATGTACTTACGAATATACTCGTAAACGATGAAGGAAAACCGAGATTTGGGTCAATGTACAGTTTCACAATATCATATTGTTTTTTT